ATGAATGGAATGATAAATCACAAGTACAAACTCATCGTATTTTTTGCATTTTAGATAGGATTTATTCAGCAAAATTTAAGGGTGACGTCATCAATTTTTTTAGGAGGGATGAACAAATACATTTTGAACAAAAGTTTACCATGCTTATAATAACTTTAAAATATTCCCAAGATTTCAAAGCATTCGGTTTTGTAATTCCTGATTAAATCGATAAAATAAATTCACGCCTTCATTAATTTTTTTGAGTCACCCTGCATATGCAAATCCAAAAATATGAATGGAATGATAAATCACAAGTACAGACTCATCATATTTTGTACATTTTAGATACGATTTATTCGGAAAACTTTTGAGCTGACGTCATCAGTTTTTTGTAGAAGATAACCAAATATATTTCGACTAAACATTTATTATGCTCTTTATAACCTTAAAGCATCTGCAAGATGTCAGAGCATTCCGTTTTGTAGTTCCTGATTAAATCAATAAAATATATTTACGCATTCATTAATTTTTTTGAGTCACTCTGTATATGCAAATCCAAAAAATATGAATGGAGTGATAAATGACAAGTACAGGCTCATCATATTTTGTACATTTTAGATATGATTTATTCGGCAAACTTTCGAGCTGACGTCATCAAGTTTTTGGAGGGGATAAGCAAATATATTTTGACTAAACATTTATTATGCTCTTTATGACCTTAAAACATCTGCAAGATTTCAGAGCATTCGGTTTTGTAGTTCCTGATTAAATCAATAAAATATATTTACGCATTCATTAATTTTTTTGAGTCACTCTGTATATGCAAATCCAAAAAATATGAATGGAGTGATAAATGACAAGTACAGGCTCATCATATTTTGTACATTTTAGATATGATTTATTCCACAAACTTTTGAGCTGACGTCATCAAGTTTTTGGAGGGGATAAGCAAATATTTTTTGACTAAAGATTTATGATGCTCTTTATAGCCTTAAAACATCTGCAACATTTCAAAGCATTCTGGTTAGCAGATTAAAAATTAAATTTCAAAATGTTTTATAATTTTGATTTTTTTTCCAAAAATCTGGACGTTTCGGGTGAAAAGTCGATTCAGAGTTGTAAACTACATGTGTAGGACTATGTTATTTTATACAATTGAAAACCCATTTACTATGTACAATTTTGAAGTGACGTCATCGCTTTAGTGGTGGGGATGATTCGACAAATTTTGGTTAGCGTTTTGCCATCTACATGATATTCTTAATATAAGTACAAAATTTCACAACAATTCGGAGATTATCTGTCTAATAAAAATCCGTGACAACAGACGGACAGACGGACAGACGGACAGACGGACAGACGGACGGACAGACGGACAGACGGACAGACGGACAGACAGACGGAAATGGGAGACCTATTTCTTCGTCTTCTAGGGGTCATGAAAGATCGAGAAAACGTAAAAGTAGAGAGTCGGCCGACGGACTCGATTACAATACTTCCTTTGCTTACGCTCGGGAAGTAAAAAGAAACGATGCATACATTGTTAAACTTAATCTCTGTGTAAATAAACAATTTTCTAATGCGCTATTACGTAAATTGCATTCAATATATTCGAAAATCGAGAGTGTCGTCCTCGGACAAGGTCCTTCACGGTGAAAGTTTAAATAGTAAATTATCTTAGAGTTGGTTTTACCAAAAAGTTTATCGTAACCTTACAGTAATGTGGTTACTTTTTAATATCGATAGAAATTTGAATTATGACACCTTGCAATAATTAAGAATGTAGCGTCATTTTTTGTTAGATGCGTTGTAATACAAAGCATGAATTTCGCACCTTATTGGTATGCAATTCTACAAATTTACTGATTAAATAATTCCCAATTTAAAAGTCAGTTCTGATTTAAAATTGTTAATCTATTAATACTGTTTTTCCCATTTTTTCCTTACGCTTTCCTTAGTTTTTATTTTTTTTTTCTCGGAAAGACAAATCCAAGAAATGTTATAATTTTAAGTCAAAATAGACACAATAAGAAAAAAAGGGGACAAAAATCTATTTTATCTAAGTGAAAAGAAAACCAAAAACATGATGCATGAACAAGAGCAGAAAGTACACAAATTATATCAGAAGGAAGAAAAAAGATAGTTTAAAGAAGAATACTAAAAAATAGGTAGGTGGCATTATTAAAAGCTATTGAAAAAATCGAAAACACAAAAGGATACAATATTGAGTGCAACAACAGATAAGATAACAATCAGTAAGAAAAGCAAAGAAGTTGATAAATAAAAACTATAAGAAATGGAAAACCGCAGAGATAATTCTGATAAAGTCGCAAATGATACAGTATCTAGGTTAGGAGGGAATAAATGCGTAATGTAAAATAATAGAAACAGCAGCAAAAAAAATACCTGCTGGACCAGCCAGTCGTTATTGCACAAATATAGATATAAAACAATAAGAAAAGTAATGGACATATAATGAAGGTACCAAACGAACCATTCCAGAAATATATCATTCTCATAGATTTGTACTCTATTATTAGGTTATTGTTCAAAGATATGGACTACACTGAGAATAACAAAATTTAGTTTGAACGTTTTAAGATCACCAAAAGAATTAGGTAAGGTGGAGTTCTGAGTCCTATATTATTTATATTAATTATGAACGATTTATTCAACAATATTGAATACAATCCCAATAGATGGAATATCTGTATGTATACATATGTAAGTAAAAGTATAAAAACACAGGTTTGAACTGTCAAGCTATTACGAATATACATAAATTTCATATATGTATGCAAAATGAATTATCCACGATTATCACAAAAAAGCATATTTCATTGATAACGAACCACCGCTTTTTTTTTTAACATAATTTTTGTTGACTTCGGCATAAATGGTTGTAAAATATCACATTTCACGTGTAATAATTAATAATCCGTAATTCCCACACATTTTGTAATGAAAGAGACAAGCGAATCAATACTGTATTTACCTCAGCAGTTTATATTTATATCCACAACTTCCCTATTAATATCCTGTATTCCCATCAATTTTTACTAAAAAAAGATACCTACTAAAATAGTGTTTGTCAATAAAATTCCAAAAGAACACTCTTACATTGCGCACTTGCTAACTTACTTAAAATTTTTGACTAAAACTGTAGCAAAAAAAAAACGTTTCAAAACTTAGGTTTAATGTAAGCCAATCGAAGAACTGCTAGCTTCAATTTGACTTTTCTTTTTTCGTATCTCTGGTACAAGTAGCAATATACAGAGTGACTCAGCTCAGGTTTTAAAAATAAAGTCATTGAACTGATAACACGTCTTATCATTTTTGGTACTTACAGATTTTCATCTGTAGAAAATGAAATTCCAAGAAATTGTTGCACAACAGTACAATTAAATAATTTTGTAGCTGTAATAATGTTTATTTTTTTTTACATAACTACAAAGCAAACTAAAAAATGTCCAAAGCATTACAGTCGTCCATTGAAAATTGTTAACACAACAAAATATTAGTGTCTTATCTCGGTTTCTTCTGGTACAACAAACAAATACGCAATACGTTAAAAAAAGCGTTAGACTTTCGGATCATAAATGTAAAAGAATGTATGAAGAATGTACATGTATGAAAAAATACAGTTCAAAGTGTAACGATTAAGAAAGCTTAATTACCATGAGTAGTTTCCACAATGTATTTTAAATCATAAACGAGATTAAAGGTTAATAACAAGATAATGAAAGTTTTCAAACCTAGCAGCACGCGGCAAGAACCCGCAAAATTCTAATAAAATGTGCCATCTAATGACTCAGACTCCTGTCCAGAAAGTAAATAAACGATTTTCCAACGTGTTCCTATTAATTATTATTTATTTTTATAAAAAAAAAAACAATCCTTGAACAACACCCTTGACGTTGAAAGCTCGATTAATGTCAAATTTTTCTCGGCAATAATAAAAAAATACGTAAAAATAGATTACAGTGACCTTAAATGACGAGTAATTATTTCAGATAACAAAACTGGATTTACTGTGACGTGTGATAATTATACAAATTTTCAAAAGGAAATATTTCCCGATGAATTGGTAGCCTATTGTAGTACTATCAGCTAAGGCTGTTTATCAATTTAACTCCATTCTAAGCTTTTTCAGCGGTTCTATTTCTGCACATCATGCAATCGTATCAGTTTCACTAGGTACCTACTCTGAAAAATATAAACTTTCAGCAGTTTAAGCGCATTTATAATGTTTTTAAACTTTAAAACTTTTTATTTTAATATAAAAAAATGTGTAAAACTTCATTTACCAAAGTGTTCTAAATTTGGTAAGTAGGATCTCATTACTTACTTTACATTTAGACTTATGTGCGCTACGCGCACGACACGCTTATTACGAATGCATTTTTTAGTTAAATTACGTGTCTGTAAAAATACCCACAAAGTAAATTACATTTTGCAACATTTTTAATACTAATAAAAAAAAAGAGTAATTATGTTTCGTTTCATAGTGTCTACGAATTACACCACATGTCATGACTCATTAAAAAAAAAAATTAAAATAACTGTATGAAGGTTTTTGCTTATTTTCTCATTAAAAATGGTCATCCTTGGACAATATTCTTCACTTTGAAAACTCAATTAAGCTCGATATTCAAAAAACCGCCATCACAAGATTACATTGACCTTAGTGTGGTAATTTTTTAACAGCGACAAAAATTCGATTTATTGCACCTTGTAATAATTAAATATGCAAGTGTCAATGACGACCAAGGAAATGACTACTTCGGTAATAATGATAATAACATCAGGTGCTAAAGCTACCATCCACCTCACTTCCTGAGCTTTTTCAGCGGCCCCATTTTGCGCATCATGAAACCGGATCGGCTTCAGCACACATGTTCCGACAATATCAAATTTCAGTGGCAATTCCACAACATTTTCTAATGATTTTGTAATGACACGACAAAGCCGATCCAATCAATAATGCACCTCAGCAATAATTCATAGCAACAGCTCACCTATCAATAATCTTTTATCCTTCACAATCTGTCCTCAAAAAAAAGACCAAATCCCAAAAGTCGTTAAAAAAAAACGTTTTCTGTGACGAATTCCAAAAATTACACCGTTGTCGATCGCCACACACCTTTATCTACACTCTTAAAACCTCGCAACTTCCCTACAACAGAACAGCGACTACTACTACTACAAACTTTAGTCATGCCGGGCCGGCAAAGAATGGATTTTCTGCGCGCGCATCCATGACACTATAAATTACGTAAAGAGCGTCGTTAAGGTGAGGGTCATAAATATATGGCGTGTCTATGGCATGAATGTGAAAATTGGGTTTTGCGGGTACTTTGCCGAATGATGGGAGATAAGAGGACAAGCCCACTGATTGTAGAATGCGATGAATAAAACGCGTGTTTGAGCTTGTTCTTGGCCTTAAGACTCAAAGAAGCGCAAATTTTGGTTGCGCAATACTTTTTGTTGTGGCGTAACGCGAGAGGAGTCACATATATTTTTTTTTTGTAAAGGTCGGAAATTAAAATTGTGCGGAAAACAAGCAATTATTGCAATATTTTTAAATGGCCCTGGGGCTAATTTTGGAGAGTATGTGTAACACCAGCGGATGGATGTATACATGATGGTTCAATATAAGCGTTATGGGAAAGATAAATAATTATCTAATGCATATATGTGCGGTGAGTGGGTTTTATTTTGGTAGGGTTTAAAATTAACTAATAACGATAACATGGATTTTGGAAAATTGGCAGATTCATGTGTTATTTTATTTTAGCATTACAGGAACTTTTCCTGGAATCTTGATCACCATCAAAGTGTTTTTTTTATCAATTCTGAGATTTGTAAATTTTTGGACTACCTGGGTTTTCCAGTTTTTCATGATGTCGTGGTTACTTGGGTTTCAATTTTTAGATTTTTCGGAAAAGTCAAAGTGTTTGTATGTTAATTACCTACTTTTCAAATTTTTCTCGTACTCTCATTATTATTTTACAAGGGAAAAACTAGCAATAAAAGTCAGCCAAAAAGTTCCACCGAGTTGAATGGGGCTACTAACTCTTACAAGAAATAAATATGTAAATTTTAATAAGAAATTAGTATGTAATTACACACTAAAAATTTGCAGCGTCACTGTAACACAATTTTAAAATATTTATGTATTCATATTTTCTTTGATGATGTCATCGACAATAATGCACCTTTTTCTAGAATTTTAAATTGTTGTCATGTATCATTTTACAACAAAATGTGCGATACTGTATATGATTAGAATATAAATATTTAATAATGTTACATTAGTAAGAAAATCTAGGGTCAAAGACTAAAATCTTTTATTCGACTTTGAGATGTCATTTATATTAGACATTAACAAAAGTGTGATTCAACTGTTAAGATGTTAGAATTTATATAGTTCGATATAGGTAAAACATTAATAATAATATACAATCGGGGCCAGAAAATCTTGGACTTCATTTTCCTGCCATTTTGAAAATTTTGATGTAGCCCATGCTTTATTGTCACTTTGATATTTGAAGTTTAAAAGATTTGTCACGTCGCATCCAGTGTTAAAAATGACAAAACTAAAGAATAAGGTTACAATTCTTAAGGTGTTTCACATTCTGTGACAGAGGAATGAAACTGACTGTACAATCTATGTACAACAATGAGTAGACCCTTCCAGGTAGAAGGGTCGTAAGCTCCACCCCCATCATTTTGAGTCGGTCCAAGTACCTAAAACGACCATTACGAACCCACATTCCGACATCACAAGTTCAAGTTCGTACTGTAAGCGTAAGAGAAGTAAAGTGTTATTTGTTAACAAGGTGTTTTTAATTCAATCTATCAACATTCGACTTTAACGAGTCAAAACACTGACGTTCAAAATTTTCTAGCCGCGCCTGTATATAACTGAAACTGGAATATTGCTATGCAGTCTGGAAACCTTTTATTTATCTACTGTTACTACGTGCTGCAGAAAAGTATTTACTTTTTTAAACATCATAGCTATCGTCTTTAAGTCTCCCCTCATAGGGAATTGCTTACAGAATTCGAGATATCAGCTCTGTATAGCAGACATCACTAAGTTGCTCTTACATTTTCCTCAAATGCTGGCTAGATTAAATTTCATTGTAAAATCTAGAAATGTCCCAACATTTATTAATCTTATTAATCTTATTGTATGTGCTAAGAGCAACTTTTATATGAATGTACCTATTAATTATATGTTTTCCAAATTGTATCCAGCATGACGTATCAGATAAGCTCAACTACCATGTCGTCCTTTAGTTTTTCGTGTAAAACATATCTCATTTTCCAGTGAAGATTTATTTATGACATGTTCAATCATTGTATCGACTGTAAACATAGAATTTTTGTACACTAGTAAAATTTTACAACCTAAAAATTAAAAAGTCTAAGCTTCTAATCAGCAGACCAATAAATTATAGAACCTCGATGGAGGCTTAGTGGTCGTCACACGTTGAATAGGATGACATGTATTCTATTTTATAATTGATGTGGTCTCTGTCACTAATTGTTTTTGTATGTCGATATGTAGTTGATTTTTAACACGGTGAAATTATTTTATCTTAGCATTTAGCAATGAATCTCTAACTTTTACGAAAATTTCAAAATGATACTCGTCACTAGTTTGATGAGGTTCTTTAGCAGGTTGTTCAAGTATTTTTGGCTTATTATGGAGTATACAAAAATAGTGTGCTCCAATTTTAATAATTTTTGTAACATATAAAAAATTAGGATTTTCAGAATTTTGATCCGATCTTTTGATCCTGACTTTGTTTTTTTAATGTCATTAATTTATCTAGTTAAGCCCAACACAAAAGGTTTATCCATTTTTTGTCACTTACTTTTAATTAGAAAACGGTGATAGAGAAAATAAACGTAACAAATATATGAGAACTGATAAGACTTTCGTTTTCCTTTCACTATTTTGTTTCGTTCTTTTGTTAACCGCAATTAATTCTACAATTTTGTTGTATTTAAAATTTTTATTTTTAAACTATGTAGATGCTAAAATGTAGTTCTTACCAGCCAATTTAACAATATGGAGAAATCTTCTGGCTGCCTATTTCTGGAAGAAAACTGCCTCAGTCATTTTTAAAATCTTTTTTTTTTTTAGTAATTGACAAGGGAGTCAGTGGCCGATTTATTTTTAAGTCTGATTTCACCTGCCACTAACGAGATAAATTTGATGAATATTTTCACTCTCATTTTCAAAATTTTTGGCAACAAAACTGGCTTAGCCCGTATTTACATCTTATTGGTCAAAATTTGAAAGTCAAATAGTTTCACAGGTCGAAATAGTCAGCTTGCAGTGTTTTTAAATAATTATATATTTAGAGAACTTTTAAAGTTATTTAAAATTAAAAGTACTAATAAGAATATTAATGAACATCTCTAATTCTTAGAAGAGTCACTGTGTATAACGTAAACAGAAACTATTATTCAGCATTCTAGAAAACATGCACCTTCAACTATTTTAAAGTTATTTAAGTATGCCTTTGTAAATATGTTTACAGAGATATTTAAACATACAAAAATAAATCATTTTTTGCATTTGTACTTTGCCAAACTTTTATACGTTACAAATATTTCTAACCATTTTGAACACGGTTTTATTAATTTTATTAACAATTGTAAATAAATTTAACTGAGGCTACGTGGAAATAAAATGCAACATAAAATAAGTTTTTCTCAGCAAAAGTAGCTAAACTGTAGGATTCTTAACTTCTGCTGACAGAAATCAGGTATTGACACGTTTAAATACAATTAGAATTCAGTAATTTTAATATGCGCACCAAAAGTAAACATTACCAAAGCGCATTAACTAAAGTAGGATACCGATAATCCACGCTTTTATCCGCTACATTAACCAAAAACAATGTAATGATATCGAGATTTTGACGTTACCTAACTAACACTGACACAAGTTGTGTGGCTAAATAATTTCACTAAAAAACCGTAACAACGTCGTAAAACAGTGAAAATATAGAAACGACGTATTGGCAAAAACATGCTTAAATTTCATTCCTGAAACAACTGCTAACTGCAACAAAGTATCCTAGTTAAATATGAGGAGTGTTATTTAAAAACCAATGTTAAATTCAAATTCATGAAACAGGACATCGAAATATATATTTAAGGAACAAAGATGACAAGTTCTATTCTATGAGGGAATTTAATAGTTACTTAATAAGTTTATAAATAATGTTGATTAATAAGTAGTAAATAATTACCAACCATAACCATAGGGATTCTTTTAATAATATTTTTCGAAGTTTTGAGCTTTTAATTTTTATTAAGCTTTCATGACTTTCATCTTATTATGATTCAGTATTTGATTAAGCCAAGTTCGTGTGCCGTCATTTCAAGGACTCGTCGATAATCTTATAGTTCTTGAATATTGCGTAATATTACACTTGGATCCTATTACAAAACAATCATAACAACAGAATTAACTTAAGCTTTATTTTTTCCCACAAGTTTTACCTAAATCTTGTTTACGTCTGTAAATCGTCTAATAATGGTTTATTATGCAACATTTTTTTAATTTGCAATATTAAATTTTTCGCGTTTCGAAAGTGCAGTGTTAAATTTAGTAACTCGCGCGGCTATATTTGTAAAAACAGCTGGCAATACGGAAATGTGAAAACTATACGACCATTCTAATTCTGCCAGAAATCCTGAAATACTGACACATTTTACAGCGGAGCTTTCTCTCAAATTTCTGAAACCCGAGGACATTTTCTTACAATAAAAAAATGGTGCAGACGTTTTTAAACCAATGGAAAAATTAGCGAGATAAGTGATAATGATAACAAACAATTAGATATAAGAACTGCAATTTCATCGTTAATGGAATCTTTTCAATTAAAACTAGAGTAACTAAATGGCACAGCTTGTAATCACATAATATCACGAAACTTGTTTTAACAAATTGAATTGTATTGTACGGTTGATAAACGTTAATTTGAAAAAAACTGACACGATCGCATGTGAATTTTTCTGCAACTCATTGGATGATATCATCCTTAAATAAAAATAAACAGTGTGAATAGTGGGCAAGATTAGTTGTGAAGAATATAAAGAGTAGGTATTGTTATAAATGTGGTTATGTAACAGACAAGTTCATACTTGTTTTATGTGTTTTTGAATACATTTCGTTTGTCAATCATTTTTAATGAGCCTGAGGCGACGGTCACTAATAATTCGGAATATTTTTGCTTACGAATAGATAAGTAATTTAATGCAAAATATGAAATATAGCTGATGAATTATTAAGCACATTGTTATCGTGCTTTGAATATTTACTGCTGCGCCAACAGTGTTTATACTTTTTTTAATAAACTAATTGGGTTAAGTACCTATGGCTTAAATGTGCCGAAGCACTTAATAAAATTGATAGAATCGTTTCGTTCGTGTTTGTCTCTTTTGTTCAAGTATCTCATAATTTTTTTATAATTATTGCAACATAATGATTCTAGTGCTTCGCCGTTTACACAGAATATTTGTTCGAGTTAAACAAAGCCCAACTCTCTGTGATACACTATGTGTACATTTTAAAATATTGCCCCGCTATATGCAGATAGTGCTTAAATTTATGGAACCTGTTTCGAACAACGACCTTTTTATGTAATTTATTGTCACCTTTACAGCGTGTAATTATTCGAATCCTTCTTGCACTTATGCAAAATCGCTTGAAAACAAAGAATACAGCCTCAGGGTTTTTTATTTGTCCGGTGTTATTAACCTTGATATACAAAAAACTGTCTAATTTCGTTTTGTTTTATGGAGATTTTCAATTATTTTAATGAAATTTTCTTCACAATACTTAAATTGGAAGTCATACTTTTTTGGAGGGATAAATGAACCAATTTTGATCAATTTTTGATAACCTTAAAGCACGCTTAAAATTTAAGTAGTTCTGGAGAAGATTTCTCTGACATTGCTTAATAAAGACAATAAATAGTATATGTTTGTATTAATACCTTTAAAGTAGTCAGTTACCAAAATAACATTAGCTAACGTTAATTGAAGATTAAAATATGTATTATTTTCCATCATAATAAATCAGAGATATTTACAACGATTCGGATTATGATCTTTGATCGGCGGAGCAATTTTAATTAACACGACTAATAAACAATAATTATTACGACTGACTTAAAATATAGGACAAAGAGTGATGCAATGTCACAGTAAATTTCCAGAAAATGAAACGTATCATAAGCGTTCTTAGGAATCTTTTCTCAAATTTAGTACTCAATAATAGGAGTATATTTTTTTATTTTACGATGTTTTATAAAGTTATTATTATTAAATAAAAATCGAATCTATAATTTCCAGTTCTGTTGAATACAAAAAATCAAATCTTAAATGTACCTTTAGGGTTTCTAAACTGAGTCAACATGCAAACTATTTCAGCTGGACCTGCATTTACATTAATATAATACCCAGTAAACACGCAAGTTTACATACTATATACTTATACTTTATCTTTGTAATTTTTCTTATCTTATTAATTAGTCAAATTTATGTAGGTAAGCATAATTTAAAACTACAAACCATTTGCGACTCTTTTGTCAGAAAAGGATTAGCCAATCTCTAAAATAATCCCCTAGCCCTAATTGTATATATTTATCACTTATCAGTTTATTTCCAAAATGACGTTTCAAAATTCAGGTATGATAGTAATTCTAGACAAACGCTATCTTTGTAAAATAGTGTTAATTTTGGGTTTTAACATTAACTTGTCAAAATTTGTTTTGAAATTATGTACAAAAGACAGAAATAACATAATTTAAATAAATAAATAAATAAATTAATGATTAAATAAATAAATAAATAAATAAATAAATAAATAAATAAATAAATAAATAAATAAATAAATAAATAAATAAATAAATAAATAAATAAATAAATGCCCAAGACTATCGCGCCAATCGCGCCATCTATTGCTTGATACTCATGTACAGTTCCTACACTACATAAGTATCTAATAAAATTTTATTGGTATTTCAAAGTTGGACCCACAAAACCATGAATCACAAATTCAATGCAACCCTGGATGTTTCTAGCCCACTATACACGAGCGGCACGCTCCTTTTATTGGCGTCATTATCCCCCTGCATTCTGCATTGTCCGATAATCCCTCAAAGCAGCGGTTGTAAAATTTTACTAAATAGATACTGATGAAGTGTAGGAACTATAATAGAAAAAACCTTTAATTTTTTTATAGTTGACGTTTACCATATAACCTTACTTCATAATGTCATTCTTGACATTTCGATATTTGTTAACAGTTTCAATATGATTTTTTTGTGCCGTAACTGTGCATAGACCTTTTTTAGTTTCAGCAATGAGACACGTACGACTTACTGGTCAAAACATAAAAAAACTAGCATCATTTAAAAACCAGGTAAACCATCATATCCTGTGATTTTGTTATTAATATTGTGTTCTAGATCGGCGGCATTTTAAGAGAACTGAACAAATTTGACAAAAACGAGAAAACCGAGGCTGTGTCTTACATCCAAAGTTATATTGACAATGACTCGAATGCTGGTTGTTCAACTGTTGAAAGTGATTCGTCTAAACAAATTGCAAGAAAAAAGAAAGTTTCAGAGAAAGTTGATAAGTACAAGGTACAAAAAAAGAAATATAGGATGAGATTTTCTACAAATAGGAAATTAAGATACTCAGACGGTGGTGTTTCTGTGAGGAAAATTGTTTTTAAGTGTAAAGTGTGTGATGGCAGTGAGAAAACGAGGAAGCTTATGTTGAAGCATTTGCAAACTCATGTGGGGACTCCTAGATCATGTATTAAATGCAAGAGGACTTTCAATGGGAGTGTACCTTTTAAGTGGCATGTTAATTATTATTGTAAACCAATTTTTTATGGCAAGTGGAAATACAAATGTAATTTGTGTCCAAGGGTAAGGTTTTCTTTAATGATGGTGATCTTTTTTATTGAAGCTTTTTAAAGGAATTTATTTCAAAAAGAACTCTGGAGAGTCACATACAAGGGCATAAGAGGAATAGTTGTGCCTACTGTGATAAAATATTAACACGAAGGGTGCAATTGGTTAGACATTTGTTAGAAGAACATTCAATTAAACTTGAAAGGGATACTTATAAATGTGATTACTGCGAAAAAAGGTAGTTTTTATTTGTGATTTTTTTACAATCTAAGGAGTCTGTTTCAGGTACATAAAAAAATGTTCTTTATATTACCATTTAAGGCAGCATCTGCCTGATAAATATGTTTGTTTAGAATGTGGTAAAGTAAATAACAATACTGAGGAGTTTGAGGAACACAAGAAACAACATGATCTTCACAAGCACTTTACTTGTTCAAAATGTGGAGATAAGTTTTCACGGAGGCAGCAGTATTTGTATCATTTGAAGGTAATTATTAAAAAAAAAAATGAAGGTGTATTTATCGTTATTCGAATGTACTTGGACGACTTTTTTAATCCGTTGTAAAATATGCAGTTAATTAAGTTGATGTAGGCAACCAGTTATACACCAACAACGAAACTCAAATTACAAAATATCCGCAATGGTGCGCTGATATTTTCAATTTTTTCTTTTAAAGTTTGGTTATTTTGTCTTAATTTGAATTTTAATTGTATTATTGAACTTGTAAGTTGACAAAAAATCATTGTTTTACAAATATGGAACCAAATTCAAAAAAATGTATTTCTGTCCGGAAATCGTCATTTATTCAGTGCATTGTGAATCGTGTTGGATGTAAAAATCGTTTATGTGGTTTAGTTGCGGTAATGAGTGACGTGAGTTGCAGGATATTGTGTTATTTTAATGAATAATTAGTGAAGGTTGGCGACATTTCATAGCTTGTAGAATAGGAAAATCTGTCGATTCGTCTGAATTAAATACAATTTTAGAGTTTTATCCTGCAATCGGCGTGGTGGATACAACATCGAATAAAATTTACCAATTGTCCTCTCCATAAAGTTGATGACGTCGTCGTCACAAACAAATATTTAAAAAATTATCGCCTGGGGTGCAACATGTATTTATTTTTCTGAATTACTTACACTGCCTGCATTAAAATTAATTTTTTATCCTCGTAAAAAATTATGACATAAATTGCACCAACAAAATCTCACGTGGAACATGCTGCTTTTCCTGTGGTTTAACGATCTATATGTTACTGAACTGTAAGTTCTATCACGGTTTAACGGATATTAAAAAAACCTGGCTGGTAGGTTTGTTGAAGTTACGTCATATATTTTCTGGAGTAGATGAACAAATAAATTTTAATTATTGTTCTATAAGACGAAGACAATGTTGATGTATCTCCAAAATGTGATAGTTGTCAGTCAACTTAATTTTTGAGAACAACCTGTGCACATCAAGTTAGAAATAAGGGTAGTGTCCTAGTGTGATGTCCTAAATTTGAAATTTCGCTCTGAGAAAAAAAAGAACGTCGCGAAACCGCGTTGAAAAATTAAAAATAATAAAATTAGTTAATAACGTAAGCAACACCGTCGACTTTGTAGGGGTAGGGGGATTGGAATGTTACACAGGTAGATTTTTAAGAGTCCCTTGGTCACTTGTTTTTTTGTAAGTGCAGTGTAAACACGTGTTACTATGAGTACGTTTACAGCGGGCGCTTAGCCCGCAACCTAAACACCAAATTCGATCTAAGTGAGTTTAGTCCTCATGCTGTAAACGCAGACCGAGTAGTGGACTAATGGATAGGACAAACTTTGTTGGTTTGTCTATGATACGGACTAAGCTGAAGAAATGACGGTGTAAACGGAAAGGGACTGACCCAAGCGATTGGTACCTACTTTACCGACGCGGCTGCTATTTATCTATTTATGTCGTATTCGGTGTTCGCTAGTGTCGAATCGTTTGTTGTGAAATACCTTTATTTATTCATAATTAATACTGTTGTTTTAATTGCTGTTAAATAAACACCGATGACTGACGTTACTATAACCTCAATATAATCTTTAATAATACGTGGTGAGATGGCGCTTCACAAAATTTAGGCTAGGGCTAAATTCGACCTAAAAATGTGGTTGAGCAGCTTGCATTATTGCCGATATAAACGCAGACTATAAAAGAGTAGTACGTAGGTCGGATTTAGGTGAAGGTATGGGTCAGTCCACTACAAGTTTAGCACTGTAAACGTACTAATTTAGTTTATAATTTGATAAAAAGGGCATTTGTTTGAATAAAAATGAATCGCATTCGACGCCACAGTCCTCCGTAATGAGCGTAATTAGTCCAATAAAAGTTTATAAATGATTTTCTAATCTCAAGTGTGTAAAATTTTGACTGCTCCATAAATACGTATAATATTATTTGTTTTTATTGTATGTAAATTCAAAGTTAATGGTAATATTTTTAAGTGTTCATGGTTTTAATACAATTTAAAGGTAATAGTGGAAAATGTTCCTGTAAAAGACGTGGTTGCAAATTCACTTATTTGATCCATTTCGTGAGAAAGGACGTTGGAAATTATCGTTTGTTAAATTGATGCCACTCTGGACTGGGTATTTCATTTTGTATTAATCTGCTACTTTCTTACCAGCCTAATTATTCTCTCACAACTGGAATTTGAACATTTATTCTCTAATTATTATTTTGATTTTGACTGTTAATGTGTGGCTTGTTGTGTTTATTTCATATATGCTTTGTTTTATCTAATGTGTGATTTCTTTGAGTCCACTATGTATAATCTATGTACAGATTTTTTATTTAATTTTTAACTTGAATTAATGAATAATTTAACATCATGTAAATTCTTTGTTGTTTGAAATTTTTGATAGAGTATGCCGTAAGTAAATGTTGTTTGTTTCATTTTTTGTAATTTTGTAATTCAAATACTCATCCACAAAGGCATAAAATCGCGAAGCGGAACATGCGGTTTCTAGCTAACGTGAAAGTGTAGCTTGGTTAAATAGCTGGCTGTTTTGCGTAGACGGACTAGAGCGTATAATATGCGGCAGGTTTTTGGGTACAGAGATGTGGTGTGTGTTACACCGGTCAATAGAGTAAAATCATTGAGGAAGGTTGACAGACTACGACGAGAAACTTAAATTTCGTTGTGTCAGTTTAATGACGATTTCATTTTTATTTGTATGTTTAGATTTGTGATATTCAGATACATATTTGTACCGATTTGTAATATTGGATTTCACTTCTGAAAATTGCAAAGGGTTTTTGCAGCTGGGGAAATAATGGAGGAATAAACAATTTCCCCTCCGAACTTTGCATATTTTCTAATCTTGGTATTCCGCCATAACGAAAAACATCCAACGTAGGATTCCATTTTGTTGACAGTTCAAGTTGCGAATTTTTCGCGGTTTTTAAAAATTTGTACACATGTCTTATTTTGGCGGAATGTTTAGTTGTATTAGTAGTTTCAGACAGGACTTACCTGTTTGCAACCGACAAACAAGAATCAAAAGTGTTGGAGACGGGAAACCTGCATTTTCGTTTTCTGCTGTTTATTTTAAAGTGTTATTAACAATTTACAGTGAAGATTAATGCAGTGAATTTAGTGACGCTAAGTTAGAAACTATCTTTGAATTGGTAATATTTTGTCAATTTTAAATGTAGCAAATTAAAAATTGCATTTCTAAATTTGAAACTATGGGGAAAAAACGGGTTTTGAAATTCATATTTTTCTGATTTACCTCGAAAACAGTGATCCACAAGAAGGGTAGATGTTTTTGAATAAAATACCACGCGGTGAAAAATTATGAGTTGTTTAAAAACATCAGTTGGCAATTATGTTCCGTAAGAGTTGTTCTCAATGAAAGTAATACAATTTTGATTTGGATCTCCCTTTTCGAAGGCTCTTTTCCGAAAACTCTTAACTGATTTCAATTTAAGTCAGAAAAACCAAAATCCGATGCTAACTTCAGCGGCTTGTGGTATTAACTCTTATTTGATTCTCAATACTAGTTCGCTTTGTAATTTTTTACATTTGTGCTGTACAGACTTTATTATTCCAATTTTAAATTCTACAATTCTCCTAAGAATATTTTCAAAAATTTTTATCATTTTCTGAGACGTTTGATATTAATTCAGTACAAATACTGATACGTGGTGAAAATAAGTTTTCCACTATGACCAATATGACTTAAGGCACGTCATTATATCTAGACGCCATACAAAATTTCAATAAATTATGGACCTGTTTTAGAAGTTACGCTGCCATCTTCTGGAACTAAAATCGGAATAGAATATTTACTTTTATTTTATTCATGAATTATAACACGTTGATTTTTTTATCAATTTAGAGACACAACCAATATAAATGCATCACCTGCAACGAATGCTACGCGTCCAGACTTAAAGCCATCAAACACAAACAACAAGGTCACCAAGTAGAAGGCCTAAACCCTCGCTTCATATGCCCCCACTGCCCTATAGCCTTCCACAGAGAAAGTCGCTTCCACATCCACATGAGAAAACACACAGGTAATCGTTGATACCCTGTAACACCTTTTTAATAATAATAATTATTATTATAGAAGAAAACAGAACCGTAAATTGCAAATACTGCAAGAAAACTTTCAACTCTCCTTACGCCTACTACAAGCACTGCATCACCATCAACCACGAGAAATTCAGCCCAGAAATCAACGATATTGCTTGCAACAAGTGCGGCAAACACTTTGCCAAACGCTACGACTTGCGACAGCACATGTATCGCGTCCACAATATATCGAAACAATTTGTTTCTTGCCAGCACTGCGATTATAAAACTGTGCATAAGTGTAACATGGATCGACACGTAGCTCTGCATTTTCGTAAGGAAAATCAATACACGTGTGAGTATTGCGGAAAGAGTTGCGATAGTATTGCGAGTTTGAACGACCACATCACATATAACCACATACAGGTAATGTTAACTTAGAAAAAAAATGTGTTTTATATAGTTGTTATTTTAGACCAAACAATTCAAGTGCGATAAATGTGATAAAGCGTTTAAAAGAAATTCTGAGTTGGTGAGACACCAGGATAGCCACTCTGATGAAAGACCTCACGTTTGTACTTTATGCGGTAAGAGCTACAAGAGGCTGAACCATTTGAAACGACACGAACAGCAAGCACACCAGATTGTTAAGGAAACACGAAGAATTAAGAAAGTGGTGACGGAACCGGAAAGCTCGACTTCTGAAAGTGGTGTAGATCAGGTCTCAAACACTAAAGTTGTATTGTTGCAGCCGCATGAGCAAATGTTAAACTTTTCGGGAGTTCTTGAGATAAATGGAAGTGAGGCTATTAGTGAACATTTTGGTTATTTTTTGGCGGATAGGGGTTGGAATCTTGATAATGAGGATTTGAATAAGGTTTACAGCGATGTTTCTTTAAATTACGGTAATCACAATCTGTGTGGAAGTGAAGGTCAAGAAGACGGAATGACAAACATTATAAACAATGGAAATATTGCAGGACAATGATGATGGTGTGTTTGTTAGGTCAAATGAACGATATACAGGGTGTTTTGATAGAAATGAAATAGGTTATATAAAAATGTAGTTGTATTTTTTTTGTTATTATTATGTTACAAGACGAATGTATTTTAAGTCAAGTTTTTTTTATTAAACATGTTCTTGTATTTATTATTGAAAATAAGTTTAGTTTTTAAGCTTTTTCAATTAATTATATAATTTAGTCTGCGTATTTTATACGTTTGTAATAATGGTGAAAAGAAAAAAATACGCAACTATTCCACTATGTCGGCAAAATTGTAGTGGTTATGTTAAGTTTTTGACAGTGTCAAGGTTGTTATTATTATTTTTTAGTAGAGAATGAACGACAATACTTTTCTAATGTCTGACTTAATTTTATCAAAGACAGTGAACAATAAATCTTTGAGGATCAATGATTTTTATTTAATATTTCTTGCTCTGACTCACAATTCGTATCATTTTTTAAAATTATTATCTGTGTAGGAAATAAATCACGTAACAAAGAATATAAAAAAACTAACATTTCCTTACTGCGAACACGGTAACTCGCTAATTAGAGGTTATCTGTTCGTACCTTTCAAAAACTTGATGACGTCATTTCAAAATTTTTCAAAATAAATAATTTTTTGGCCCGATTTAGCGAGTGTTTAAAAAGATCTTGTGTCTAACTCCAACAAATTCAGTGACTGCCCTTCAGAACTAATAAATTTTCGCGTCAGATGAATTTAAGTTATTATTAGAGAGCGGATTTCTGTCGGGCTAGACAAGGCCAAACTCGGTACGGCTCGTACGGGATGGGAATTCATTGCAGTTACCGGCTGCACTTCGTTTATTTGAGATTAGAATAACGCTGCTTCGTTGCACTCTGCTGTTAATTCCAGTTCTCATTTAGTTAGCCGTTTGATTAATAAATCGTTAATTGTATTTATGGAATCAAGTGACAATTAAATTCAGTGATTACCTATCACCCGCTACTGAGTCCCGGCGATGCAGCGCGTCCCCACTAAAATCGTGACGTAGCCCGACAGAAATCCGCTGTCTAGTTATTATTGGTGTTAATTCGTACCTAATGCTGACATATTTCGACAATTGGAAACTGGATTACTTTTGATGGAGTGATAAATGTATCATATTTGGTTGATAAGAGTTAATAAGTTACGTTTCATTGTTCTAAACAGTAATTTGTGACCCTCTAGGTCAACGGTTTGAATTGAAACTTGAAAACTGATCAGATAATGCAGATTTCATCTATCAAACCGTGGACCTTGTAGTTGATTTTTGTCACTGATACAGAAGTTAGTTTCAAATTTAAATCTGGAACTTACCTAAGTAGACTGCATTTATTTTACGGTGGGCCACTGAAGTAGTGAATTCGTCCTATATGAAGCAAATTATATATAATTATAAAAAAAGAAAAATCGACTCCAAATCTAAATCACAAGCTAACTTCAGTACGGTTGAGATGAGTGTAATAGCAGTTTTTAATAGTTAATATAAGGTCAACGATGTTATAGCACGGTTTTATAACATTCTTACAACGAGGTAACAATATTTCCCTCTTTTCACAATCATACAACACTATTATAATATTATATAGGTATATTAAACACACCATTTTACCGTTAGGTATATTACAAATCGCTTAAAAAATATATTTTACTATTTTTGGAGTTAAGATTTTATAACAACAGCGTGTCCATGGTAGAAGGAGACATGGTATAGGCATACGCATCAGGTGTGACGTCAAGTGGGGTGAAATTAGCGCGAAATTTAAAATACAATTCGTTATCCGACAACTAATTGACGTATTGGACAGAGCAATGACAACTCAAGCTGAAATTCCCTAGACTTCCCTAGCGAAGCTCACGAGAGTCACAAGGTCGTTGATGCCACCTAACGTCACAAATGGATGCGCAGACCATTTTTAAATTGGTACATCGGATGCCTATACCATGTCTCCTTCTACCATGGTGTAAGCTACGGGCCTGACCTAGATTTAAACTTGAAGAGCTATCCTTTTAATTGTAAATTGGACGGCACTTAATTAAACAGTGGAACTTGACAACTGTCGCACCCCGCGTGTCCATCTCACTTGAGGTTATGTTTCATTTCCATTGCATTGATTGGTTGACGAACACGAACTTGTATAGATGGAACCGTTCAAAATTATCAAAAATTACCACTCCTTTGATAATTACCACATTATTGTAGTTTAATTTGTATAATGACATCATTTGAACATTATTCTCATAACAATTATATTTCAAATATACATAAAATAATTCTTGATCACAAAGTTTCTAGAGCGAGGCGCCCACTTGTCTAAAAATCCATAGCTTTTGCATTTAATTTTGTCTGTGTCAATTTAAATAGTAATTTGGCACATTTGTTGTCTCATAGTTATAATACGCAAACATCTTTTTCACCTTTCGTGTTTAATTATTAGAGTAAAAAAGAAAACAAAAATAAACCTGGCTCCACTCCTGTTTAAAAAAACTAAAAGTACCCCAGTGCTGCCAACCGCGCGCACTGAAATTCCCCGCCTCGAAATCCCGCAACCTGCATTATAACCTTGGCGCTGAACAGCGATGGTCAAGTAGAATCATTCTGTATAAAAAGTCTCGTCAACGTCGCGATAGTGGTCGGGTATTGTGTTTTGATTACAGTGCGAGCTCAAAATAATGCATACAACAATATAAAGCATGATAAACGCGGCGTTCCATTGTGCAAAGTCCCTCTCTGCATTGTTCACCGAATTTAATTGGTCTTATTGGATTTAACAAGGTATGCCAAAAGTTGCTCATTTACTAATTTTGTTGTATGAGGTAATCTCCACCGCCACCACTCTGCCAATATTAACACCTGTTAACACCTTTCCTCGAAGAAATTTCTTGTTTTCGTCGAGATCCTGCGGCCGAATTGCTTGATTGAAAAATCGTTAGCAGTTAACCTAAATTTTAATTTGATACCTGCAAGATTCAAAGGGGTGGATGTGCATTCGTGTGGGGAATTGCGTAATGCTTTTGGCAATAAGCGATTTTTGCGGAATCCTCGAGCCAAATTAACAGGTTAGTTTAATTTAACTCTTCAAGGTAGCCCCCTTTCGGCCGTAAATAAATATTGTGGGTTAAAGTTCGCTGTGGTGATTTGAGCACTGTTTTGACAATACCGCATGAATCATCTTTGTTCTTTACTCATTTATTTTTATCGCTGCATCAGATCAAGATACTGGACTTTTAAAAACAAGAATTATTTTTTATTTACTTTCGGATTAATTAAAGGTGTGAAATCCTAATATGTTGCAGTGGAAGTTCGCTTTTTATAAGTGTTAAGTGGGTCTTTTAAAACACTACCACTTGTCACACTTAATTTACACAATTTATTACGAGTACGTAAAGTGTGACGTTTATGGATAAGATAATTTACGAAATAGAGGGGAAGGAGATGGAGTGATAGGAAGTTCGGGGAGAGTTCGAAAAGTTTGCCGCCGAACGACCGGTCTTTGGGGTTTCTTTGAGTTATTCGTTTTGTTCGGCTTTATGCATGCATATTTATGTTTCAAAGAGTGTTTGCTTTGTTCGGGAATTATTCCACTTTTGTCTTATTTACTTTTCGTTTTGTTTGGGTGTTTAATTTGGACGCTGTATGCCAAGGGCTTTATATAAGGGACAACGATGGTATCTTTGCGAGAAGTTTGATGAAAATGATACAGCAAAGCATACAGCCTGTTCCATCTGAACTGATGGGTTAGTACCGCAAAAAATGCATTGTATGTTACAAAGTATTATTGTTGAGAAATACGTTGCTAAAATTCCAGTTTAAATCTTCTGGGAATTCTCCTCCTAGATAAATCTTCTATTTGTGATCGAAAATGTAATCATTCCAACCAATTTCCGCAGATACGGTAGTTGAGGCCATTTTTGATAAACCTTCAACACGAATTTACTCGAAATTTTGTTATGTAATCAACTGTATATTTTGTATTCTAAAAGACGTCGGAACCTTGTCTTCACTTCCGGTGAAATCTATGCTTCGATCAGTTTTATGATGTTCCTAAATCAGTAACGGAACAATTACTTTGTAAAGGTAGATTATCATTTTAAATGACTTTTTTGGGAAAGTAACGCAAAATTAGTTTGTTACTAGAAACATTATTTTTATTATAACTTATAAGGTGATTATAAAAAATCATCATGTCATGATTCATGATTGTGACTACTTGTTGTCACCTGTCATAAATGTCAATCATAATCTAACTTCCTTAAGCTTTTTTAGTGGGTTTGCCACCTGATACGTAGCAGCCAATCATCCCAGCTCGGACGATAGATTGCTACCTAACTCATGGAAGTGGCAAATTCGTACAAAAAATATAGTGACAGTTATAATCACTGTGTATATTATATTCAACTTCAAAATTTAATAACGGCTGACTCTTAAAATTATGTTTTTTACTTCCCGAGCGTAAGCAAAGGAAGTATTGTAATCGAGTCCGTCGGCCGACTCTCTACTTTTGCATTTTCTTGACCTGACATGACCCCTAGAGGACGAAGAAATAGGTCTCCCGTTTCCGTCTGTCTGTCCGTCTTGTCCGATTGATGTGAAATTTTGTATTTATATTAGGTATATCATGTAGATGGTAAAACGCTCACCAAAATTTGTCTAATCACCCCCCCCAACAAATCTGATGACGTCACTTCAAAATTGTACATAATAATTGGGTTAAATTGTATAAACTAACACATAGTAGTTTATGACTCCGAATAGAGTTTTTACCCGAAACGTCCAGATTTTTTGAAAAAAAAAAAAAAATCAAAATTATGAAAAATTTTGCAATTTAATTTGGAATCTGCAATACCGAATGCTTTGAAATCTTGCAGATGATTTACAGTTATGATAAGCATGATAAATTTATATTCAAAATATATTTACTTATCCCTTCCAAAAAATTGATGACGTCAGCTCAAAAGTTTGCCGAATAAATCCTACCTAAAATGTATAAAATATGATGAGTCTGTACTTGTGATTTATCTTTCCATTCATATTTTTTGGATTTGCATATACAGGGTGAGTCAAAAAAATGAATGAATGCGTGAATTTATTTTATTGATTAAATCAGAAACTACTAAACTAAATGCTTTGCTCATCCCCCCTAAAAAATTGATGACGTCACTCCAAAATGTTGCTGAATAAATCCTATCTAAAATGTACAAAATACGATGAGGCTGAACTTGTGATTTATCATTCCATTAATATTTTTGGGATTTGCGTATACAGCGTGACTAAAAAAAATTGTATTTCAGGAGCGAGGGAAGTTCTGTCGAAACAACTTTCGATCAATTTTTTTTAGGATGTGATCTCCTTATTTCAAAAATGCCCTAGTTTATGAACATGGTAAGGGCCACAGTGTGTAACT